CTCGTGGATCAAAACATTATCAAGGCTGAAACTAGAGGCACATCGTGATTGCCTGCCAGATTGGCGTCGTCGTCATTGACGTGTGGCGGACATTTGGTGTTCCTTGCCCAGATAAGCCGCCACCGGGAGTGGAGAACTCTCACGGCATTTAAGCTCATGTCATGAATGAATGAATGAATGAATTTACGGTTACGCGTAGCTCTATCCGGCAGGGCAGGAGAGTCCTGCACAAAAAGCCTAGGACGAGTTCGCATCCGTGGAACGTGTTCGTTGTCTTGGCGGCGGATGAGCCGAAACGGATCGAGCGTGGGAGCGTGACCAGGAGGCGCAGCAGCCGGAAAGGCGTGGAACTCGTTCACCTTGGACTTGCGGCAGGTAGAAACCTTTCGCGTGAGGTGCGTGTCATGTGCCTTGTAATATCATGTATCCGGGCGAAAAGTTTAGGGCCCGTCTGGCAACCGAAAATATTACAATAAATAGGCCCAAAATGCCATTTTGAGGCCAAATTCAATAATTTAGGTCAAAATATGAACTTGTTCATCTCAAAGAGTTTTGTACCAAATCCAATATTTTTGATACTCACTGGAGGCTCCCAAAATGCCATTTTACGAAATACAATGTAGAGGTTTTACGTCCATTTTGAATATGCCATAAATCGTTGATCCCAATTTAGCTGAAAATGGCATATTGATTTTGAAATTTTGCCAGACGCACCCTTAAATAAATGAAAATAACAGCACTTAACTGGGGTTCCACCAACGTTCCACCAAACTCCACAAAAACCGTAATTAACCCGTTCGTGTGGGGAAAGTTCCATACTTTAATCAAGTTTATTCTTAAGTATACTTGACTTTGCCATCCTGCGATTCGCAGGGTGGCAGGCGAAATAATAAAATAAAAAATGCCAAAAGTCATTATATTTGCTTCAATTAGGGTAGGTTTCTGCGATTCGCAGGGTCGCAGGCGCCAATCAGAAAAAAAGATGAATATTTTTGGTTCCCAGAAATTTATTTTATTACCCAATCTACAGTATCTGAACAGACGGTTGATTCAAGTCTTTTAACCAATGAAATTTGTTTGTTATTACCTTAAATAGTCCTCTTGAACCACAGTCTCCCTCGCCGTTGATTGGTCGAATTTGAAATTTTGAACTGGTAAGAGAGACTTCTCTCACTTTCCCATTTGCACCGTCTTGCTCAAGTGCCTTGATTTCTGCACCGCCGCCGCAGCCGCCGCAGCGATTCCAAGTACTCAAGCCGATCTGACTCAACGCTACGCCTACCGCCGCCGCAGCCGCCGTGCGATTCAAGGGGCTCATGTGTCTGCCGCCACCGATGAAGAAACATTTCGATTGGTTGGTGTTTAAACTGCCTTGTACCCAATTGGTCGGTACTTGCAACGACGGTCATTTTGCAATTTGCTTTGTCATGGAGAAGTGTTGTGTGTGCGGCGAAGAAGAAGGTCCCAACCTACGCCAGTGCTGCATGTGTGTGTCCAAGTTCCATCATATGTGTATCATTGAAGAAGGCACAAAACGCGGGTGGTCTGAAGCGGAAGAAGGACAAGAAGGTGTAGTGCTCAATGTTACCAAGCCAGAGATATACGAGTTCCCGAAGTTGTGCCGCCACCGGCAAGAAAGCGAGGTCGTCCTAAGGGATCGAAGAACAAGGCGAAAGTGCAAGATGTACAAGGTGTATCAACACCGGTAAAGCGTGGTCGTCCGTCGAAGTCAACATCAATGGACAGCCAACTACCAGCGGCAGATGAGGCATCCGAAGCGACAGCTATATTTACACACGATCACAAGTCAATCTGATCCGAGACCATGTATCGCTACGTATCGTTTAAGCCGCTACGAGAGGCTCAGATCCACAAGAACGACAAGAAGTTGCTTGATTTCTACGCAGATTGCCAAGACTTCATGCTTAGTGGTGTGGTCACCGAAGTGCGCTATGTCGTTGGCAGCGAGAACGATCCCGATTTCGACACGCCGGGCAAGAAATCGAAAGCGACTGCCAAGACGATGGTTGCATTGTACAAGATCACTTGGAATCACACGCGTTTCCAGCGCGAGGAACCTTGGATTACTGCTCGCCTCTTTTACAAAGGTATTTTATTATCACATTAATCTTACTCACTAAATTGTAGGTGTGGAACAGTTTGCGACTTTGAAGGCGAACCAACGCATGAACGCCGGACGAAGTTACCTTCAGATTTCGTCGTTTGTACCCGAAGACGAGTTGCACGAGATGACCGAGTGGAACATGAAGTTCCTAACCGACAGTTCATTCGACGAAGAGAACAAGGACGATGAAGAGACCAAGAACGACATGCTGCCTAATGTGGAAGCGCCCGTTGACGACGGCAGCGACGACGAATGGTCTGAACACGTGGAACGTGGTTGGAAGAAGCATGGGAACTACGACACGACAGAAGACATTGAAGGACTTGAAGACGTTGAGTGGATTTGCGGTGGACACTACGCTGGGCCTACACATCTATACGAACATGAAGACAACAAGGATGACACGCCCGTGGACGAGTTGCGCATTTCCGACGAGTTCAAGGATCTATTCAAAGATCCCGTGAAGGGTTTCCTAGCCTTTATACCGCTGGAATTTTGGAAGACCGTGACGTTGCGGACGAACGCCAAGGCATTAGAGCTACAAGCCGCTCATCCTAAAGGATACGTTGGTGGCCGAGAGTTCAAGAAAAGTTTCGAGCTGGTTGAAGTGATGAAGTTTATTGGCTTACTGATCATGATGAGTGTCGTACAAGGCGGCGAGTACAGTCTGTATTGGTCCAAACCAAGCATGTCGTTCCTTATGCCGCCTACCGAGAACTTTGGCCGCGTCATGGCGATAGACAGATTCAAGCAACTGCGAGCGTGCATCACATTTAACGACGTTGTCGAGCCCGCGGACCCTCTTTGGTGTATCCGACCACTCATCAACCTGTTGAAGGCATCATTCAAGAATTTCGTCGTGGCAGGACGAGAGATCAGTGTCGATGAGGCGTGCATTCCGTGTCGGTCAAGTTATGCGCGTGCGCTCATCGTCTACAATCCCAAGAAACCTCTGGGCAAGTATCACTTTCGTATTTACACTGCAGCATGCGCAACTACTTGGTACGTTTTTGCCTTCAAGATCCACTCGAAGGCGGCAGGCAATTTCGACATGGAAGCCGACGACGAAGCCGATGATGACGGTGAGCCAGCCCCAGACGACGACACAGCAAAACCTCGCGATGAAGTCAAGCCAAATGCACTGCGGCAACATGTCATCGACATCACAAAACGATGGGAGGGTAAGTTCATATCGTGTTATTCTGTTATGAATCTGTTCTAGGCTCGCACCGAGTGATCAATCTGGACAACTGGTATTCTTCGGTGCAGTTATGTCTGACGCTGCTGAAGATGTGGTTGTATTGCCGAGGAACAGTACGAAGCAACCGAGCGCACAATCCACGGTTCGGCATGTTCGACAAGAAACAGATAAAGTCGGTCATGCGTAGGTCAAGTTTAGTGTCGGTCGCTACATCTCTGGGCATTATTGCAGTTTCCTGGCTCGATGGCACAGTCGTGAACATGCTCTCGACTGCGGATGCAACAACAAAGTCATTTGTCCATCGCCGAGTTGGAAGGTATGACTTTACACGCTGCTATTACATGTTATCTTTACTAGTCAAACTATCCAACAAGAATGCCTCTCACTCGTCGGTCTGTAAAACAAGTACATGCAAGGTGTTGACCGCCATGATCAACTACGCGAACGATTCTCTATCGCATCAGGAGCAAGCTTCAAGCAATGGTACAAGAAACTCGGGTTCGCTCTGATAGACATTGCTATCACCAACTTGTACGTTCTGTACACGATCTGCGAACCGGTCAATCGACGCGACTCGCCCCTGAATTTCCAAACAAAGCTGGCGAACCAAATGCTGTTCGAAACGGATTGGACATTGTAAGTTATCTCTATGTTACTTTGCTTTTCACACTTGAAGGTTTTCCGAGACACAAGTACCAATGGAGTACTCGAGTGTACCCATGACCCAGTCAGCAAAGGCTTTGAAGAAGGCGGTAGCCGAAGAAAAAGCCGCTGCTTTACAGCGCGACGCTTCTCTTCGGCAGCCGCCAAAACGCAATAAGACTTGCCGTGCGACGGACAAGCAAGCGGAAGTGTCGTACAGCCAGCGAATGCGCCGTTATTGTGTTGTTTGCTACTATGAGCGAAGCAAAGAACTCATCAAAACGCAGTGGTGTGACGTACATCAAGTCTACTTATGCACAAAAGCATATCTGTAGAGCGAGCAAGCTGTACCAGCTCATCTCTGTCCTCATGCTCAGTGGCCATGTTGGGACAAGATTCACTCGTTCTATCAACCAAAAGGCCTTTTTAAGAAAGACGGCAAGATGGACAGAGGCAACGAGCTCTACAAAATGAAGAAACAGAGCGAGAAAGAACCCAAGACTAGCAGCGCCAAGAAGTCACTCGTTTTGGTTTAGCGACAACGAAAAAAATGTATAAATTGTTAAGGCGCACGAGTGGGTTTGAACCCTGAACCTTTCGGCTACGAGCACGGCGACAAACCACTGAGCTGTAAAATGATGATGAAATTGACTTCATTTTAGAAAGAAAAGAGGATTTTATTACAAAAAGAGACATAAATGGTTTGTTCACTCGCTGGGATTGATCCCTGTACCTGCACGATGCGAAGAGGATTTATTGAGTATATTACCTAGGTTATAGTGGATATGAACTACTTTAACTCAGCTGGACCAGGTCTAACGGCTTTGTCTTGATAGTTCTACCTTTTCGGTAGTACAGCGATTCGACACGTTTTTACAGAACGGCCACATTAAACTGACACTTTCATTCCGGTAACCGCTTCCGGACAATCCTTCTCTTGTAAGTTCGAGGCGCACTTAAGTTTCCCGATCACATACATCCCATTAAATACCGTGCTTTCGGACAGGGGGGGTGGAGGGGTTGCAAATCCCTCGTCCTAGCCCGGGATCGAACCGGTGACCTCTCGCTTACGAAGCGTGTGCTCTACCACTGAGCCAATTTCCCCCCTCGCACGATGCGAAGAGGACGATGTACCGCTAAGCTACAGAAGTACTTTTACTTTTGCCATCAACCACTCAAGTCAAGTGCCAAAGTAACGTACCCCGCGCACCATGTCGTCCGCCGCCGCTTCCGTTCCCGCCACCGATCTCGAATCCGCCAAGCAAGTTGTCCTGCCTCCTGCTGAGAACCTCTCTCCCAGGAAAGTTTCGAAAGCGCTGTCGACCCGCCGTTGCAATCGCTCCATCCTGGTGAGGATGAGGATGTTGCACTTGGCCCAGTCGACGCCGACGCCGCGAATGCCGCCGATCCTTCTCCTTCCGAAGAACACGAAGATATGTCAAGCAAGACTAATGCGAAAGTTTCCGTCGATCGCCAAGAAGGTTTGTACGACGCGTCGAAGATACCACCAAGCCCCAGGATAGCCCTCCAACCGACCAAGCCGGCGATCCCGCATCCCGTCGAGTTCTCATTGATCTCTCCGACCCACTTGACACTCCCCCACGCGAGATAACGCCGCAACAACAACCCAAGAAAATGTCCTACGCCGATCTCCTCAAGAGCGGCCAAGGAAATACACCTCCAAAAAAAGTCAAGACAGTTGTCACTCGTCCCAAGTCCGAGTACCTCGACAAGCTCATCGAACTTGCAAGCCAAGAAGACGCAAGCGAGGAAGACTTGCTTGAAGCCATCTCCAAGGCAACGCCGGTCAAGACCAAGAGGGCCACCACGACGATGTGGATCGAAACTGGTGGAGCCTTCGCAGACAAGCAGTACTCCAACGAGAAGATCATCGATGCGCTCTTCAAAGAGAACCAAGACGCCGACTGGGCGGATCTCCTATTGGATTTCGTTCAGCTCAACAAAACACGCACCGGTGACATCGTTGTGTCCATTACCTCGACAGTCGTGAAGGACCAGCTCGTTGGCAAACCCATCTCGATCATCGGTAAGACTTTTACCATTCCAGCGCCTACTGCCAAAATCAGTGGATTAACGAAAGACTCGACCGACCCCATGGACAAGTTCTTCTTCATGGACATTGTTGGCATCCGCTTCAACTTCGACTCGGGGAAGCTCTTTCGTTTGCTACGTCGTCTGAAGATGAAGCCGATCTTCCAAGCATATCGACAATACATACCCAATGTCTCCTGTCAATCCAATGTGTGGCGCGTCTACTTCTTGGAAGCAGAAGTCCCCAAACAACTTGTAGTCAATGGACGCCCCGCCGATCAGCTGAAACTTGACGGCGTGGCCTACAACGTGTTCGTCAAGAACTTTGAACGCTCCGCTGCTCGCACCACTGGCGTTTCGCCTCATTGCTTGGAATTGGATCACGCTGCTGCGGTGATGCAAAGCCAAGGGAAGCAAGCGCCCGAACCACAACAAGAAACAAAATGACGAAGACCAAGGAGCCCAACAAGCCAAACGAGCAAAAACGGACCAAGAACAAAAGCCCGACGAACCTACAACCCAACGTGAAATTGAAGAGTCAAAAGATATGGAAATAACACCTCCCGAACCCGAAACAATTGCCCCGGTTGATGCTCCGCCGTTGAGTGGTGACATGGAGGTTGATCCAAAATCAGCTAAACGTGCCACGATTCAGTCAACTGATGAAGACGGATTTGTTGTACCTCGCTCAATGAAGAGAGTTGTCGCTGAGCAAGCGTCGCCATCGGCAGTCTCGTGGGCCTCCGACAACTTCTTTGATGTCCTCGCAACGATTGAGATTACCACTATGCCAGTGGACTCTCAGCATGAAACTCCAACTCGAGTGTACTTACCCACGATCACGAAGATCCCCGAAGGTGTAGTCACCACTCGCGACGCCTTCGTCAAGAAACAACAAGTTGTCGAAAACAAGCTTCGCTGGCATCCTGACAACCTCACAATGCACGAGCTAGTCCAGGTGCTCCGTACCAGTGTCGAGGAAGGGGCCGCTTTTCAACACCACAACCAAGTCAACACAGCCGATATCTCCGGGACGGAGCTCGATGTGGTCGACTACATCCGTCGATGCAACGTCGACGGCCTCTGGAAGGTGGTGCACTCACACACCCAAAAGATGAACGTAGTCCTGACCTATTTAGCCACGCATGCGTACAGTGATTACCTCAAGGTCGTCCGTATGCACGCTTGGCAACGATGGATGTCGGCGACACAGCTACCAGTGGTTGGTTCGTTCACCAATGGCTTCAAATTTGCCTTCCAAGAACACCCCAAGTGGACCAGACTCGAAGCAATATCGAGCGTCGGAGAGTTCTTCGAAGCTGCGCCAAAACACCCTGCCTTCTCAACGGAACAAGTGGAAGATGCACTCGCCGCGTTCGAATTGTGGCTCGCTGTTCAAGCGCCATTATTATTCAGAAACGACGAGTGGATTTTATACCTCACACGCCAACCGGTAGCATGGCTGCCAACAAAGCATGGCCGCATGTTGGCTCCCAATACGTTGTGGGCCTTGCTCAAGTCGCCGTTTGGGCAATACTTCGCTGAAGAGCTCAATCGCGTCTGCAAGTCGGAGATGTCGTCGCGGATCTGGCAGCTCAGTATCGATGCCTACCAGCCTACAGACAACTCGTTAATAGCGTTCGTCGGCAACGACAATACCCGCCTGCAGCGCAGGAACAACTTGTTGTACTAAGGTCTCCGCGGCCTCAGTCCAAGCAACCGCAACTCATCCCAACCATCAACCCCCTCTACAACATCCATCAGCCACGTTTCCCAACTCAAAACTTACCAACTTGTCTATCGTCACCGCCAACATCAACGGACTGGCGAGAGACAACGGAAACCAACTCGTCAACTCGATGATCTCAAGGCACGAGATTATTGCCCTACAAGAAACAAAATTTGCCAGTAAGAAGATGTTCTCCACGTTCAAGTTTCACCTTGATCATGCGCTTGGCCACAAGAACTACTTTATCGCTGCCAACGACCATCGGCTGCATGGAGAAAAACTTGAGCAATACAGATCCGGTGGCGTCGCCATGGTCTTCCATCATACGATTCCTGGCTTCGACTCACTTCAACACGAACGTCAATACGACGTCGAAGATCGCTACATGGTTGTCAGTTCAATGTGGGGAGAAGACCCCATCTACTACCACAATGTTTACGCACCTGTTGTCGACAGCGAGCGCGACGCTTTCTTCGAGGCTTTGCCACGAAACTTTCCCATGGGATCCAAACACGTCGTCATGGGAGACTTCAACCTTCCAATGGATCGAACATTGGATTCCAGAGGCTCCACTAACTCGAACCACCAAGTCAACAGGCAGTCTTGCTTCGCTTGGCTTCAAGAGCTTGATGTCGTTGACGCTTGGAGATCCTTCAACCCTACAAAGTGTGTTAACTCTTCACCCAAGCGGCTCAATCGTCTTGATTACATCTTCCTGAACTCCGCCTTGTGCCGAATGTATTCCACTGGCGAATACTTTGAACCTACAGCAAACACGGATCACATGTGGCATAAAGTGGGGCTCCAACCGGTGCAAACAACGCGGGTTAAAAGCTATTGGAAGCTGCCAAAAGAACTTCTGACGATCCAAGAAGTCCGAGAAGCAATCGTGTCTGAGGCAAGAGACCTCCTCGAGCGCTTGAAAGTTTCGGACCGCCCAGGAGTCTTGTGGACGCAATGGCAACGCCGCACCAAGCGCTTTCTTCAAAAGTACCATGCTCGGATAATCACAAGTCAAAGGAATGCACTCCAGGAAGCAAAAATCCTATGGTTACAAGCTCAGTTAAAGCATCATCGAGGACGACTCACCGAAGCAGCTCTCAATACTGCAAAGGCACAGTATGAGACGAAGACGCGAGACTTGAACCAACACCAAGCAGACTTGAGTTTCGACTTCCACGCAACCAAAAATGAAGCTCCGCCTAGTCACTTCTTTCGAAAACCCCGGGCATGGCAGTTCTCCATTCCTACCGTTGATTGCTATGATGAACATGGGAATGTCACTGCCATACCCGAAGAAATCCACGCTGCATTCACTCGTCATTGGTCTGCAGTGATGAGCGAAGGCGACTTTCAACCTACAAGCCAACATGCCAAAGACCAATTCTTAAATGTGCTCGAAAGACACCTACCCCAAGACGACTCGGACATGTTGGACGCCCCATTAACGACTGAAGAACTGGCGCAATCCATCAAGACGATGAATCCTCACAAGTCGCCTGGAATTGACGGGTTCTCGGCTGGATTCTATCAATTGCATCCTACCTTGTTTGGCGAAATTTTGTCGATAGTCTTCAATCATCAGCTCCAGCAAGGCATCATGTTAGAATCGCAGAGATGGTCGGCGATATCATTGCTGTTCAAAGGTGGTGACCGCCGCAACCCTGCGAACTACAGACCCATAGCCTTGATTCCGATCGAAGTCAAAGTCCTATCACGCGCTTTAGCGTACAGAATGTCTCAAGTCCTACCAGCGATCATTCAACCTGGGCAAAATGGCTTTGTCAAGGGCAGACGCATCCATGACCATGTTATCTTCCTTCAAGATCTTCAACACCACTGCACGACCTTCAACCAAGAAGCCTATGCAATGTTCTTGGACTTTGAAAAGGCCTATGATCGTGTGAATCATGAATTCATGTTTGCCGTTCTCAAGAAGTTCAATGTCGGAGATCAGTTCATTGACTGGGTTAAGTTACTCTACAACCAAACCCAAGTCAGCTTGAACATCAATGGCAGACTTACCGATCCATTCTACCCGTATCGAGGTGTCAAGCAAGGCGATCAATTGTCGTCGATGCTCTTTGTATTGACGATCGAACCACTCGCTCAAATGCTTCGCAACCACCCCGAATACAGCTACGCTTTCTCGGACTCGGGGATCGCATCGGTTCTTCTCTTCGCGGACGATACCACGCTCATCTCAAGCTCGGTTGGAGACTTGGAAGCGCAACTGGAGCTCGTCGATGAATTCTGTCGGCATTCCGGCGCCAAGCTCAATCGCAACAAAAGCAAGGTCTTGACCCTAGACAATACTCCATCAGTTTTTGAA